AGTTCTTAGATCTAAGTAAGGTCATCTGAGTTTGTGCTCTGGTCTTGCACTGTCTAAAGACATGGCATAGCACAAACAAGGATATCTGTCAAACTAGATGCAACATGTGGCCTAAAATTCAAAAGCTTCAAAGATAAAAATAAAGATAGAATTCAAAAGATAAGTAACTATTTAGGGTTTTTTCCAGTCGTGGCATACATTAAGAAGTAGAACTCCTAGAGTTCATTCTCAGATAGTCTATTTCTGTAATGTTAAAGGGGGAAAGCAGGTGAGGGAGATCTGTCGAAAGAGAAGTTGCTTTTCCTTCAATTATGCATATTACGTAAATTAGCAATTTGTTTCTATAATTTCAAGAGCCCTTAGGACTGTACAAGTAGAGACCAAAAAAGCATGATACATTACAGCAAAAGAGTGGATAAATGATATTTGCTTAACTTTGTGTTGAGGTTTTGTGGGCCTTGCGACACACTCACAAAAGGAGACAGACACTTCACACCACCTTAGATGAACAGGAGAAAGGGAACTTTATTTACATGACATGTCTATTTATAGACATATAGCAATGACTTTGGATTGGACAATGCTGAAAGAACCTCTGACTCCAATTGGCTTGTTACAATGTCAATTTCTCTTCCTCCAAAGAGGAATGCAAACAATCCAGTGTTTATAAGAAAGAGAGTGCGAAGAAGAGGAGGTATAAAAGAATGTCTCAACATCAGAAGGCAAAAACCAAGGGCAACAAGGTTTTCTGCAGGTTTGATTTCAGTAAGTTCGAAGGTATACTTTGTTTTTTCACTACCTACTTTTATCATTAATTCCTGCAATCAGTGGTAAGGTGTGATAGCAGTTTGGCCCACTGTGGTCATGGGATACTCAAAATTTTCCGTGTGGTGTTGGTGCTGCTGGGAACATGCTTTTAGTATACGCCCTAACAGGTGGTGGTCATCTTATTCTTGTACACATGCTTAGGATTGTATTGAGAAGTTTGTTGTGGATGTCTGCCTGATGAAGAGCTAAATGTCTCAAAAGTCACTGGAGCAGTAGCTGGAGGCCTACAGAAAGCACAGAGCACAGATTGATAGTTGGAAGATCCTCAGATACAGAGGGTTTAGTAGAGTTTCTTGACGTATGACAGGTTTTATACAGTTATACACAATAGTTGTGGTTTAGTTTATAGTCAAAGGCCTTGTCATGACAATATAATATGGAATGATATAACTAAGCATAGGCAGCACAAAACTAATCAGAGGTTTTGAAGGATACTTTTAGAAAGGCTGTAGGGAGAGCATATACTCTTCTGAACATGTGTGGTTCTTCTCTTAAAAAATGTGGAAAACCATTTCTGTATCTCTTACTTGAAACAGCTAATCACATTAACTGACAGAAGTTGTCTGAGGTTGCTTTTGTTAGAGAGTGTTGTGCTTAAGGTACTAGCTTTGAATAATATAGTGTTGTTGGATCTTTTGGGTTCTTCTAGAAACCAAGGAAGCCTAAGGACATTTTTTGCTATTTTAGTGATCTCTTTCATTGGGAATGATCCCATTATTTTGAATACTCTTGAAATGCAGCAGGTTGCCAAGGCTGTCAGTGAGAATTAAGATTGCAGGTACTCTTTCTAATAATGAAAACTTGAAAGATGACAGATACATAGGAGTTTCACCAAGTCTTCATGCATTGTTCTGTCTTTGACTTTCTGTATCACATTCACTTATTTGGGTTAGTATCTTAAAAATGTTTGCACATACCTTATGTTGAGCATGTCAGCAATGAGTGGTGCCTTTCAGAGGCCCAGCTTGGTTATGAGTGTTTCAGCATATAAAAGAAATGCCTGTGGGAAGTTCTGGAGGTGCATTTGGGAACTCTGTAGCTAAGTAAATATGATAAAACCAACATTCCTTAGCAGAGATGTTCAAAGCTGGGAAACGTCTCATTATTAGCCATGGTATTTGAACCTTGTCTTGAACCATGTCATGATATTGCCTCATTCAAATTTGTTCTTGTAGTATTTTCAAATGATAGGAGGAAGGAGGTGTGAAATGTTGACTGTAAGTGAGGGATTTTTTCATTTCTGAAAGCCATTTGTCTTTAGTTTGATTGAGGACCTCTGTCATTAATGTTACATATTATTGACTGATAGTCATGTAAATCTGTAAGAAAAGTCATTGAAAAATTGCATGCCAAGACGCACAGAAAATAAATAAATGTAGTAAATACCCTCTCTTTCTTTATAGAAGATGGCCTGTATATGCATATGGCCTGTAAATGTAATTTATTTTGTCTGTATATGTTTAATAAGTTCAACTCACATTGTACCACTGTATGCAAATATGATTGATAATACTTTAAAAAATGAGATACAGTAGTCCACCTGCTGTGTCAGTGCTGCCTTGTTATTTGAACTATCTCTGGGTGTTTCTTTTTCAAATACTGAAAGCTAAAGAACTCAAAAAATATAAATGTTTTAGATTTCCCATCACCTTCTAGCCTTATGAAATAGAAGAACCTTGAGATGTGTGGTACATCCATTTCTGCTGACTAATGAATTGCATAAGTTTTCAAGATAATGGGAAACATTCAGCAGTATATGATTTTCTAGAGAAGGTAAACATCAATTAACTATAATTCACAATGTGTTTAAAAAAATTATTGTTTACCATTAAAGTTAATAATATGCACATCAACCCTTGTTGTAGTCAAAATCGATACAGTTGCAGTTTGGGAGATGTGGTCCCTGGGCAGCTTTATCCAAGTATTGATTTCATTGTCATTTGTATAAGGTATGAAACAAACTATATTCCCTAATATCATTAATGTAGCCCCATTAATGTAGCTATTGTAGCTACTTAATTTATAGTTTCTAATAATGCATGAAAAAATAATACAGAGTTATTGAAGACATTGAGAAACACAATTGCCTAGTATGCTTGATTTAATTGTGGAAGGCCATTGCCAACACTGAATATATTTTGAACAGTTTACTGCCCAAACAAAGTCTGGAGAGAAGAGCAAGCCATGAGGTACCATGCAACTCAATTGTTCATTTACATCAGACAAAGCTCCCCTGGGTCCAGAAGCAGCAATTTGTTGTTCAGCTTTCTACTTACATGAAAATAATGTGTACACTTGTACTCTGCCAAAGGCAAAGGTTACTCCCTTCAGTTACTGGAGAAAATAAAAATATAAAAGCAGGATAGCATGTCTCCATTTTGGACATCATTAATAGCAGTTGTCATTACTGACATAGTTTGAAATATGAGTCAAATAATTTAGTCCACAATGTGATTTCTTCCCTTTATTGCCTCTTTATCAAAAGATATCTTCCCACCATTCCTCTCATGTTTTCATTAGTGTTCTTTCCATTATAGCTGTTCCTTAGGTCTATCTCTCTACCCCTCCTTAGCCTTCTAGGATATTTCAGGATTGCCCTGAAGTGCTGAAGATACCAATTCCATACCTTTTTCTTTCTCCCACTTTGGAGCACTACTTTTTTAGACAGCCAAGCTTTTCTTAAGCATAAGATTCAGGTGTCTACTTTTCTTTTTATCATTTTGTCCTAGTTCAGGCCAAGGATGTACGAGGGCAGAGCCTGGATCCATGTGGGCCTGTCTAGGCTGTTATTCTATACACTCAAATCATTACACTGGTGTGTGGAAGTCAGGGAATCTCACTTCCAAGATGAAGAGGCCATGGCTTCTCATGGAGGAAAACAGGGACAAAGCAGAGGTTCAGCAGCCTTCTCCTTTTCTGGAGGGGTATGTGGCGAGTGGAGTGGTGGGTTGGTGCTGGTCCCAACTGGAGGATGTGTCTAAAATTGTGGGTTTTTTCATTGTCTTGGTCTTGGGGAGAAAAAGTGCAGGTGTGGAAAGCCATTATCTTTCATTGTCTCAGGCTTGTGGGAAAAAACATGGTGGAGGGAGTGGTGGTGTGGTACCATCTGTGGAGATGGTGTGTCAGACTCAGTGATCATTTTACATGTATTCACCCTCTCTTATACACTGGTACTGTTTGCTTTTTTATCTCTGTGGTTTCCAGTAAGTTGTTACCTCAACCCATAATTTCTGCCTTTAGTTTCTCTTACCTGAAAGAGGGGTTGGGGAGGAGGGGAGCAGCTTAACTTACTGGTGGGCTTAAACCATGACACCTTTCCAAAATCAAACCTTAAAAGGGTTAGTGTCAATTTCATGTTCTACCCCTAAACTTGCAGTTGTTACTGTTTTTCTTACACTTTCCTTAGTATCTAAGCACTGCTTGCCTGCAGTCTTTTGCTGTAAGCTGCCTGTTTCATATTTAAGGATACACACACATACACACAAACACTTGCTTTGCCCATTACTTTTCTTCAAAGGAAAAAAAATACACTTCCATATCCATTTCCATTATCCTACTTCAATGATCTACATAATCCATTTTCAAAGCAGCAACTTCATACTTACTTCTTTGGTGGCTTTCATGCTGAGGGACCTCTTTGTAAATATATTCAAAACTACTTTTTTGTGCTTTAAAGTATAATAAAATATCAACCATGTGTGCCTTTCTGCTGTGCTGAGACTACAGCCCGTCATTCCAGCCCATACCATCTCATTCTTTAATTGTACTTGGCCAGTTGTGTTAGGCTTTTATATGAGGCGGTCTTTTTGATTTTGGGGAGAGGATTTTTACAGCATGAAACATAATACAACATAATAGTCTTTGGGTAATTTTCATAGGTGCTATGTTGTTACAAATAATACAGAATAATACCTTTCCTTCTTATCAAAATATACTCATTATGTTATCTTTAAAGTCAAAATTGGTACTATTGAAGTAAAGTTCTCTTAGCTGTCTCACAAGGGTGCTTGGCAACATTCAGGAACATGCTGTGTTTCATCAGAAAAGTCTGTGTGCTGATTTCTTACCCCCCTATTTTTTGAGAAACAACCCCCCAAACATGATTTTATTTAAAGCTTTGTCATGATCTGTTTTCTTAGTTCATAAAATTTGTTCCAAATTTTGTCTTACAGGTAAAAGTGACCCGTTTTGTGTAGTTGAATTGAACAATGACAGACTACTGACACATACTGTCTACAAGAACCTCAATCCAGAATGGAACAAAACCTTCACATTGTAGGTGTTTGGATTTAGTTGGGGGGAATGGATGGGCAGTGGGTTTTGGGTAGCTTTTTGGAGGTGAGGCTGTTGGAGAGGGAGCAAAAATACTTACTGGTAGTTCTAAAGAAGAATACTGATGACATTCTGATATTTCTTAACTAAACATCCAAATATGTTTTGAAGATTAAAAACATGAAAAAAATGGAGACGTTATAATTTAAAGTGGAAAAATGCCAGGTCTGTTTCTTGGAAACCAGGTATGAGTAATGTTGTGTGCACCAGATTTTTGTTAGGCTCAGCAACAGTTTCAAGGGCCAAATCCAGTGTGATGGATTTGCTCCTGAAGTTTTGAGTGGGGGAAAAAAGATACTGTGTATATGACCATTAAAATGTGGTTGTTAACAGTAAAAAACATTACATAAAGTTAGAAATTCTGGATTAATTTATATTTCTCTGAATTATGATGAAATACTTTCCACTTCTTGTTTCCATTTACCAGCTGCACTTCTCACAATACCATGATACCTAGTATCATACTAGGACAATCCAGCTGTTGGGTAAAATGCAGTCTAAAAAATTTATTGGGAAGTGATGTGATTGGCTCTTTTATCCTTATGTTACTTTGAAAACAGTTAAAGGCTTTGACAAAATAGAAAAAAGATCTTCCACGGACAAAATGTCCTTGTTGTTTGCTTTACTCAATTGCTTTTTTTCCTCCCTTCTCTCCATCTGACTGTAATGTGACACCAATGAGTAGAAAAAACTGATCATTCCACGTCTAACTGCTGCTGAAATCAGTAACAATCCTTTGCAAAAACAGTAGAAGCTTTAGTTTTGTTACACTTACTTCACTTTATCTTACATGAAAATGCTATATTTTGCCCTTAATCTCAAAACTCAGCATGATTTTAGTTTTTGTTTTCCCCTCTAGATTTGTCATTCATATATTTAGCATCCACAGGTTTTCTTCACCTGCAGTGAGCTCTCAGAAATGAATTCAGAACAAAAGAAAAAAAATCTCACAGTAGCTGTACTTTTCAACCACTTATTATAGTAGTTTTCATTTCTGTATCTGCAAAACCATGCTAAGTTGTTCATTAATATATTTTTAATTATTTACCAATAGAGCCAATAATTAATCATCCTCTACTTCTTGACGGTGTTCTCTGCACAAGGAATTGCCTGGATTTGTAGAGGACAAAAGACTAATCAGAAATTGAATAGAAAACCTCTAAAGGCTTTCAAGACCTTCCTTCTATGTACATTTGCATTTATCCCTAGATTTCTTAATTTTTGGGCTAGCAATCCCACACCTGGAGGAGTATATTTTATTGAAGTTGAACTGCTTTGCTTGAATTTGTATTTCCTGGATCAGCCATTCAATCAAGCATGAGTTCTCTCAAATATTTTTTTATTCTAGTAAGAAATACGAATTTTTCACTCAAAAGTTTACAATGTACAGTGATATTTCCTGTGCATGGCAGTGGAGTGTTTAATAGCCTGCAGTCTTCTTTCCTCAGTTGTACCTGAGAGATGCATTGTTTCATATTGTTTGTTCTTTATTTACTGCAATTTGTTGTTTATTTGTAATTAAACGAGGATTTCAGAAACAAAGAACTTGTTCTTAGTGCAAGGATATTCTCTTGTAGCTTGTAATTATTTCCATTTGCAAACCTACAGGTTTCACTTTATTTGCAGTAAGAATTACCACAAGGGTACAAGTGTTTAGTTTTTAAAAGCTCTCTTCCTTCTGCTGGTGGCTGTAAATGCCCCGGTGCTGCTCCTTGCAGGTCATGCAGTGCAAACCTCAGGTAGGAGATTTAAAGCAACATCCTTCAGAAAACTTCTGCTGGAAAAGCCTTGCAGAGAGAGAAAGACTGATAACTGCAGCCCTTAGAAAGTATTTTGGTTATAAAAGGCCTTGCAGAGAGAGAGAGAGAGAGAGAGAGAGAGAGAGTAATCATCACAGCCCTTAGAAAGCATTTTGGTTATATGCAGAGATGTCTCATTTACTTAAGCTCAGTTCTCCTCCATGGCTTGGAAAAACAGATCGGTATCTGTGCTAACCTTCTACAGTTTTGTCCTTGGTACCCGCTGGTGTAAGTGACTTCTTTCTTCTGTGTGTACTTCTCTCTTTGTAGCAATATAAAGGATATCCACTCAGTGCTTGAAGTGACAGTTTACGACGAAGACCGCGATCGAAGTGCTGACTTTCTAGGCAAAGTTGCTATACCATTGCTGTCTGTAAGCTTCATTCACCTGACATACTGCTCTGAATTTTTCCCGCTGAAGGGGGGAAAGAGAAAAAAAAATAAATAAAAATTTGCAGCTCTAAGTCTGTCATTTCTCAACCAAGGTCTGTAATAAGAACACTAAAATTTTAACATACTCTATTCACGGCCATGTTGAATCCCATGATAGTTAATTTTTCCTGACAGACTCGGTCCTGGTAATGAACAGGTACTTGTCAGACTTGCCACAGTTGTTTTGGGTTCTCTGTCAGTTTCAGCAGCTGGGGGTCAGGGGTCACCGGGGGGGTGTATTCAGCGGAGACCGCAAGACAGACGGCTGTCATGTCCTTTTCCTGCAGATTCAAAATGGTGAACAGAAAGCCTACGTCTTGAAAAACAAGCAGCTGACAGGGCCAACAAAGGGGGTCATCTATCTTGAAATAGATGTGATTTTTAATGCTGTAAGTCTTAACTTTGGGTTTTTTTGTACTGCTAAAGAGTTCAGTTTCATGAAAGCTTTTGTTCCTGATTTGTAGAGAATTTCTGTCATTCCTCATTTTCTCTAAGCCTTGATGTATACTACAGAATACTCTTCTGCCACTGCTAGGCACACCCACTCTTTTTGTTGCTGATGCTGCTGCTATTGCTGCTAATGTACAGAGCAGCAACTCTTGTCTCTGTGTGTACTTATGTGTCCTGAGCTTGGCAGCCATGACTTTGAAACTTGGTAAATTTTGCGAATTGAAGCCTCTGTTATTAGTGAGGAGCAAGTAAACTTGGAATACTGACATGCATTTTAATGCATAGGTGAAAGCCAGCATACGAACCTTAATGCCCAAAGAACAGAAGTACATTGAAGAGGAAGACAGACTGTCTAAACAGGTAAAGAATAAGGAAACACTAATCCCTTATAAAATCCTTAATATCAAGTGTGCACATTCAAATATCTGGTATCATACTGCTGAGAGTAAAGAATAACATTTTCGTTACATGTTTACAAAAGAATATGATAGGTTGAGAAGTCAGAAACAAAATACATGGGTTTAATGTGTCTCCTCTATAAATTGCTGCCTAATTTCCATGAAATACATGAATAAGAACACAGTTGAAACCATCAGGTTTCACAGATATCAGATTATTACACAGGTGCATGTAAAATAAGTCTTGCATAAATTTTTGCTGTTAACTTTGACCCAAAAGTTCTCTATTTGTTGCAGGGTAAAGAGTCAGCATTCTTTTAGCCAAATTTCAAAGAAGTTACTTGAGTAAGGTTTGAATCAAAGGTGAAAGCAGATTAAAACTCTTTGGAATCCCAGGAATAGGAAGTGTCTTGACTATTTCTTTTTTTCTCTGGATATTTTTACTAGACACAACTTTAATGTATTGGTAAAAAGTTATTTAAACACATATATTTTTCTGCACTTAAACTACTTTGGACTCCGTTTTTCGTGTTCAACAAATGTTGTATCTTATATGGAGAGAGTTGGTTGGACCATGGGAACAAGATTCTTGTTGTTTCCAGTGAAAAGTCAGAAGTCTCAGAGCTGTATTTTTGTTTCTGAAAGCTTGTAGACTTGAGCATGGTTTAAATTACCTGCTGGATAAATTTTGTATCAGTTTATTATATAGTCCATTAAAAAACATTTCAAGAGGCAAAGTATTTCTTTATTTGCAATTTTGCGTTATGAAGTTACTAAAGCTGCATTTTGCACTACAGTTCCAACAAAGAAGCAGCAAAGCCGTTTACTCAAGGTTCATTCTTCTTCCCTCTTTCATAAATGAAAATGGCATTGTGACTTTTGCAGATGGCAGAAGGAGTGACCATTTTCTATGTGATTCAGTACACAGATCATTCACTGGTTTGTTCACTTTTTATGGTGAAGTGTGTTACCAATTTCAGAGGATTTAAGTACATTTTCCTGAATCAAAACCTAGAGTTTGAAAGTATGCAGATTACTTTGGTAAATACTTAAAACAATGCTTTCAAAATACATCAGACAAATACAGCAGACAAATTTGTTAAAAATGTTTAATGGTACAGATATCTTAATTATATTAGAGCAGCAGTGTTGCAGGTTTCAGATTAGTGTCCAGCATATTTTTATTAAAGAAGGCCAAAAATTGTTAAGAAAGACTTAATGAAAATGAAATCTAATTAACAAAATAATTTGTGATATTTTGCATGCGGCTTTTAATGTTGAACAATTTTTGTACCATCTAGAATTAAATTCAACAAATACTGATTGACAAAATCAGCAGATTCTCTCAAATTTTAAATTAACTTGCTCATATTTGTGAGCAATATTTGTGAAAATATTTTCTCATTCTTTACCCAAATTGAGAATGACAGTATTGTTAGCATGCACCTCTCCTGAAACTTTTTGAGGTTTTGAAATATTTTCAATCTTTCATCTTTTTAACAGCTCCTGTTAAGGAACTTCATCCGGATGAAGCATTGTATCATGGCACTTGTTACTGCTGTTTGCTATATTAGCAGTTGTTTTGACTGGGATTCTCCACCAAGAAGTCTAGCTGCTTTTTTGGTATGATCTTCTTTATACTATTTTTAGTCATCCCAGTGTGCTTGTGTTCTAGACTGAGACAATACTGTGTAGATTGGTGTTTTCTTCTTAATTTATTTAAAAGTTTGCATTAGGATGTTACCATAAGTCATGTTTATTCAGTTTTTTAAAGAAGTAATTAAATTTAAAATGTCACACAAACAAGATAGAGTGGTATTTTTAAATTTTACCATAGTATATTTATAATAAAAAAGTAATTGATTGTATATGTTACAAGCAGGCAAGCCACATCAAACAGAGTCAGTGAACTATTCATAATATATTTTAAGCTTTTCACAAAATTACTTCCATTAAATTTTGTTTGGTCCCCTTGCATATTGAATAATGACCCTTAAAGTATTTTTGATTATTTTTATTAAAAGGTGTTGTTCCTAGATAAAAAAAATCCATCGAAATAAAACTCAACTTGAAAACCATAAATACAAACAAACTAGTACCTTTTAGGGAGCAAGCTCTGGTCATAGTTTTTAGTGAATGGTTTTAAGTGAATTTGTTTTTAGCTATTTAAACAAAATTCCTGTTTCTTCATGAACATTATCTTCATTAGTATTAACCTTAATTTTTATGTTAAATTTTAAAAATTCCAAGCACAATTGTAGATTGCATTGTGTTACCCAGATAAATACCTCTTTATTTTTAAAATCCTAAGAGCTAAAATCACGACCATTATTGTTTTATTAGAGAGTGGAAATGCATGCATGGACATACTTTCTGGAATTTCTACGTTTATTAAATTGGCTGAAATACTGCAGTTAGGAGCCTCTCCACCATGATTATGAACAGGGAAGGGTTTTAGTTTTACTTTGAATAATTATAGACATGGTCTGGTGACAGTACTTTTTACCTGGGTGCCAGAAGGTCAGGTGCCTCAAATTTGGAGAAATCAAACCAGGCAATGGAGCTGGCTGTGCAGTAAAATGGGGTATTTGGGTGTGTCACAAAGTCATGCTGTTTTGCAGAAAGTTCCTTCTAGCAGGGCTCCATTTGTACTGTGTTTTTTGTTAAACCCCTTTGTGCCTGTAAAGGATGGCAGCACACTTTCGGTCCTTGGTTGCCATCTTTGTTGGGAGTGCAGAAGATTCATGTGCTGTTCAAAGAGCCAGGGAGTTCTGCTTTTACTGATGTCTGTAGTAATGGCACTATGTGCAAAGATTAAATATGCTTGCTACTGTTTGCTGTAAAAAGGCGATCTCTCATTTTAGTTAAAAGTTACCAGCACTTCATAGGGAAATGCAGGTTTCAACATAAAACTCAAATATTCATATTGCTATTACTGCTTTAATTAGTAAGTATCACTCTAAGTCAGATTTTAGTATGGATATTGAACACTCAGCTGTTGCCAGTGGAAGAGAGGAAAATGGAAAGATATCCTAATCTTTGGGCAAATTTTTTTTCCCCATTGCACACTGCTATGGCCATGGAAGGAGTGGTGTTGCTGCTAAACTGTAATTTTTTTCCGGTCATAGAAAATAAATCAGTGTCATAATAAGTAGTGGTAGTAGTACATAAAACAGAATTTGGGAGTAGGAAGGTCAGTATCAATATATGTTATTGTTATAGTTACAGTGTATTGCAGTAGAAACTGTTCCTGATTATATTTTTATAGATATATTCATATTTTTCATACCTATCTATATAGAGAGACGTATATATCAAAAGTCTGATTTTCTTGGTTTTCTTAGTATTTGTTTTGCTATGTAGGTGTTGCAGTAGATTTTTATGTTTATATCAGTGATGTGATTGTACAAATCCTGTTCTGCATCCAAAATGCATCCTGTGCTTTTCAACCTGATGTTATTCTTTCCAAGGATCAAATCATTCCTCTGTCAGGCAAAATAAGTTTTTGCTGGCCAAGTTGAATATATGTGAATTTTTATCATGATTATAAGCTTTGGGTTTAGGTGGTTTCTGGACTTTCATAGGCTGTTGAAATCTCGAGAGTGATCCACTTCCTTGTATTATGGTGAATTATACTAGCACTAAGGTTACATTTAAATTTAATAGAGTGTATAAAGTAAGTTAGGTATATGTTTCATTTTCTCTTCACTATTATACAAATTATATCTCCTCTTGAAGTTGTCTTCTAGAGACTAAAAAATGTCACAGTGAAATGTCAGTTCCAGAAAGGCAATGAGAAGGAGGCTGTTCTGGAGGTTTTCAGCTCTTTACACAGACTAATAATATATGAGAACTAAAGTTTTAAACAAACCATTTCTCCCGTCCTGTAGGAAATGAAAATGTACTGTGATGGGTGCATCCTGATACAGAGTTACAGTCATTTCATCTAAGTTGCCTGGATGATTTTTGTATCTCCCCATGTCCTTGGCATTACAATTATGGATATTTTTTTACCGTATGGCTTTTCTTTCTCATGGGGATATGCAGGACCACAAGTGAAGAAATTCTGGCAGAATAGCTCAGTTTTCAAAAATGCAATTACTAAGATAGATCAGGAAAGGAGAACTACTCTTCGAAACCTACAGAAAACCTTGATTAATATGTTAACTATAGTAGGTTACAGTTACTTGCTTTATATGCTTTGTGCACTCTTCACTGCAGTTCTTTTTAAAGTCATTCTCCTTGGAGAGTCACAGTGTTAGTCACCAAGGCTAACAGTGTTCATTGAAAGGGCTTGCTGATTATTTATACTCCGGAGCTTAGCTGTCTCAAACTTTTACATTATTTGGGACATTTTAGGTTCAGAAATGCTGTATTGAAGTTTTAGGATGATTCTTTCTAAAATCTGTCCAAAGACATCAGCTCAATGACCAATGTTACCTGTGCTGTTCATAGAGATACAGAAACTTCAAGTTAAGTTTTCAATATTTTAGGTTATGCATTTCCTCAGCAATATTTTACCTGTTTCTGTTAAACTTCACAAGCTCATCACCTTCACTGGCGATTTTGACTGAACAGCTGAGAATTTTCACTCCATTTCTTTTTTCTATGCTTTGCTAATTCATAGCAGAAGAAAAATTCTTACATATATATATATATATATGTATATACAAAATCTTCATGGTGATATAACCGTGATGTATTAATAGCTGGGTTTTTTCAGATACTTAAAGATATTAATAAATAGCTCACGAAGCATAGGTTGATCTGGCTAGCATGTGACTTTGTCTTAGAGCAGTTAGAAAATTCTATATTCCTTCCTGCTTTTTTGTATTTATTTCCTGTTAAATAAAGGAAGTGCAACAATAGCAACAATATTAAGTTAATATTTCAGTTCAAGAACAGCTTTATTATATCACATGTCTAGAGGCCGATCAAGAATGTGTTATGTACTTAGGTTTATGCTTCTTAAGACCTAAATACAGTGGGAAAAAACAGAATATGCAGAGAGCATTTGCCATGAAATCACATATTCTTCTCTATTTAAAACAGACCTTTGCAGTATTTAGCACTTAATTTTCTTTTATTAATATGTGGTAATTAATATGGTATATTTCACAAAGATGAACTTCAGTAAAGTATGCAAAAGTGGATGTTTTTTCATCAGATTAATCCACTGTGGGCACTGAAATGTCTGCTAAGTTTGACCTGATTTCCATCAGCTTCTTGACCAGACATTTATGTTCTTATAGATGTCAGTGGGTACAACATGAGGGGAAAAAGGTGTGTATTCTTTTTTTCCAATACTAGTATTTCTCACTGTAATGAGCAGAAAAATAATTGGACAATGGGGCTATCAGTAAAAGCACACACTTCTGTGTGAGTCAATGAATTATTTTATGGGACAGACATTAATCTTGAAATGTGATTGTAGATAATTTTTGCTACTATCTATCCATTTGGAATTCTTTTAACCATTTCAGTCATTATACGGTAAGTAATGCTGTGTTTAACATTAACATTTGATACACATTTAATTTCTGTACTGCTCTGTGGTCCTTAGGGAGCTTTCCTCTAGTGCTACATGAGAGACAAAGTATTGATCAGTTAACATTTCAGCTATGTATGTTGCAAAATTAATGAAAATGCCAGACAAAAATGTCAGAGTGCACAAAAAGGTAAAATTTAAATTTGGCAGTTTAATGAAAAGTTTAAGGTGTGCATTATCAAAAATATCCCCTTGTCTTTTAAGTACTTTTCATAACTAACTAAAGAGAACCACATATTCTACTTAGAGGGACACTAAACATGAAATATGAGAGAATATATAATCTTCGAAGTGTTTCGTATACCAAAATGGTCTCAGTAAGGTATTGAGTTGCCCACTTGAACATTTAGCTCATAAAATAAACTTACCTCGTTTCTCACTTGGGAGCAGAGTTCCCTCACCTGATGAAGACACGTTAGCCTCAAATTAAAGCTTCTTATGAACACATTCTCCTATTCCTGTTCTTATTCCTTTAATTCATTCTATATGTATACATGCATACACAGATAAAATATTTTTCTTTCTTTCTCAGGCTCTCAAATATTGATAAAATTACTCTTCCTGCATACAAATAATTTGTCAGGTCTAACTCACCTTCACTTTGTCTTCTAATATTACAGAATTTGTGTGTGAAAATGACATAATAGTGTCCCTAGCTTTTGATTAAGTGTTAGTTCTCTTGCACATACACCATTTAGTTTTGGAGGTGTCACATTAATTAATTGAAAAGGAAACAGGATTTAAAAGAACTTGTTCCTAGAAGGAAACGAGACAGCAAAGTAATTTTGTCGATTTACCAAGCTCTTGTCTAATGAAAAGGGAAACAATCACTACTGTGTATTTTGGAAGCAATGTTCACTCAAATACGGAAGAAAACGATTATGTTTCTGGAGAGAGAGAGAGAGACATGATACGATATCATCGGGTTAGAATGCATTTGTCATAATGATTACGTATTTTCCTTATTTTTTTCACAAAAAATTAATTGTAAGAGAATCAGAATTTTCACATATTAAAAAAATACATATTAACATATATGTTGTTGATGTTCCCATCATGGATATCCTTATTGATG